CCTTTCTTGCGTCTTGCTTCGTCTTCTTCAATGCGTGTGCATTTCCGTCGTCCAGTGCGCCGCCACTTGCCTCAACACCCACCACCAGAAACAGATCATCACGATTCTCCGCCAACTTCACCGCCGCTTGTCTTCCATCATCATGGTGAGTGGGATGATGTGACGACGACAACGGAAGCGTGGTAGTGATGATGGGGGGAGCGGAGGGGAGGAAAAAGCAAGGAACGGGTGGGTTTCTTTGCTCACACAGCGTGTATGCGTGTGCCCACCCACCCTCATCCTTCATCCTTCATCCATCATCATGTTTCTGCGAGTGTTGCTTCTGCCCTGACAACCAGTGAGACATGGGTCCGTAACTCACTTTGTCATGCGTGCAACCCTGCAACCTCACATGCATGCTTTGTGAACGTGTGTGCTTTTGTCACATGCTCCAGGCCAACGTCACTCGCCTTCACGCTCGCCAGATCTTCGACTCGCGTGGCAACCCCACCGTCGAGGTTGAGCTTACCACCGCCCAGGGTGAGTTGCATGTTTGTGGTTGTGTGTGTGTGTGTGTGTGTGTGTGTGTGTGTGTGTGTGTGTGTGTGTGTGTGTGTGCGTGCGTAGCGCACATCGCACTTACCTTCCACGAGTACTGGCGACACCACGCATATACCTTTGCCAACCGTCTCCACTCCACCCACTCACTCACACACACACACACACACTCTCTCTCTCTCACACACACACACTCTCTCTCACTGACACACACACACACACTCACACACACACATCCACGCACCTTCTGCATCCACATCCATTTTTCCCTCCCCTCCTCGTCCCCAACATCCATCGCAGGCACGTTCCGCGCTGCTGTGCCGTCTGGTGCCTCGACGGGCATCCACGAGGCCCTCGAGCTCCGCGACAAGACGGAGCAGTACCACGGCAAGGGCGTGCAGAAGGCCGTGGACAATGTCAACAAGGTCATCGCCCCCGCCGTGATTGAGAAGAAGCTGGACGTTGCGGACCAGAAGGCCTTTGACACCTTCCTGCTCGAGCTCGACGGCACGGAGAACAAGAGCAAGCTTGGCGCCAACGCCATCCTCGGCGTCTCCATGGCCGCCACCAAGGCCGCTGCCGCCGCAAAGGGCGTCCCGCTCTACCGCCACATTGCCGACCTCGCCGGCAACAAGGACGTCGTCCTCCCCGTGCCCGTACGTTGCTCCGTTTGCTCTGTGTGTGTATATTTGTGTATCTGTTGTGTGTGTATCTGTTGTGTGTGTGTTTGTGTATCTGTATTTGCGCATGTGTGTGTGTGTGTGTGTGTGCATACGGGCTTCCACACATGCATGTGTATGCATGCATGCATGCATTTATGCTGCTGTGTGTTGATTGTTTGCCATACCCCCCCCCCCGCGCCGCCCCAACACACACACGCAATACACACCCCACCCATCCTTCTGCACCTGCTTTCCTCACGTCACCCGTTCCTCCTTCCCCCCTCCCCTTCTTCCTTTTCCGTCTCCGCCTTAAGTCGTTCAACGTGATCAACGGCGGGTCGCATGCGGGCAACCGGCTTGCGATGCAGGAGTTTATGATCCTGCCCGTCGGTGCGTCGTCCTTCACAGAGGCCATGCGCATGGGCTCGGAGACCTACCACCACCTGAAGAAGGTCATCAAGGCCAAGTACGGGCAGGACGCGTGCAACGTCGGCGACGAGGGCGGCTTTGCCCCCGGCATCCAGGACAACAAGGAGGGCCTGGACCTCCTCATGCAGGCCATTGAGCAGGCCGGGTACACGGGCAAGATCAAGATTGCCATGGACTGCGCCGCGTCGGAGTTTTACAAGGACGGCAAGTACGACCTCGACTTCAAGAACGCAGACTCCAAGCCCGAGGAGTACCTCTCCTCGCAGCAGCTGACGGACCTGTACAAGTCGTTTATCGGGGAGTACCCGATTGTGTCCATCGAGGACTCGCACGACCAGGACGACTGGGAGGGCTGGGCCACGCTCACGGGCACCACGGACATCCAGATTGTCGGCGACGACCTCACAGTGACCAACCCCAAGCGCATCGCCACCGCCGTCGAGAAGAAGGCGTGCAACGGCCTCCTGCTCAAGGTGAACCAGATTGGCAGCATCACGGAGGCCATTGAGGCGTGCAAGCTCGCCCAGAGCAGCGGCTGGGGCGTCATGGTCAGCCACCGCTCCGGCGAGACGGAGGACACGTTCATTGCCGACCTCGTCGTGGGTCTGGCCACGGGCCAGATCAAGACGGGCGCCCCCTGCCGCTCGGAGCGCCTGGCAAAGTACAACCAGCTGCTGCGCATTGAGGAGGAGCTGGGTGACAAGGCGCGCTACGCCGGCGAGAACTTTCGCCACGCCGTCAAGCTCGTGCAGTGATGCGAACGTGATGCAACATGGACATGATGCGGCATGATCACACCGCACGCGCTGCTGTTTGGTCGCGACGATGGGTGTCGCTGGCCACAACCAGCGCCCCTGCGCCCGCGCTTCTTCCTCTCCCTCATACCTGGCCTTTGCTTTGTTTTGTCTCGTTTTGTTTTCACGGTTTGTTGTGTTTTGCGTCCTGTCACACATCACATCACGCCTTGGATCGCGTTAATCATTCCACCTCCTGTCTGCTGTCACCACTGGCGTGTGTGCGAGAACGAACGCTGCGCATGGCAAGTAAACAGCATGATGGCCGCATCTGCTCGACTCTTCATGAATTGCTCGTGTCAAGCCGACACAGTGGCAACGAGAGAGAGAAAGAATGTGTGTGTGTCTGTGTGTGTGTGTGTGTGTCTGTCTGTGTGTGTGTGTGTGTCTGTGTGTGGGTGTGTGTCTGTGTGTGGGTGTGTGTGTGTGTGTGTGCTGGTGGCGTGGTTGATTGCGTTTTATTTGCGTGTCTTCACGCGCAAAAAACAAACAACATGCAAGGGGCACAGCAAGCAGGGGAACAGGCGAGGGGAGCGAAAGGGATGAGCAGTGATAACGAGCAGGACACAAGAGAAAGAGGGAGTGCACACAGCCGCCCAAACAATGCAGCAACCGCGAAACACGTGAAACAAACAAACAAACACACACACACACACACACGCACACACACACACACACACACACACACGCAAGAAGGAGTAAGGAGCGAGACTGGAAGAGCCAAAGTGCACCAAACACATCCCAAAGCTAGAGAGGTTCGAGTGAGAGAAGATGAAAGGAGGGAACACGAAGGAAGCGAAAGGGGAGCAAGGGGAGCAAGGGGATCAAGGAGGAGTGGGGGTAGGGGGCAAGAGAGCAAGACCAACGCGAAACAGACACAGTTGAGGCGGCCGAGAGCAACGCCTGCACACGCCCACGCCAACAACAACCACAACAACAACAACAACAACGACAACAACACTTCAGCAGCACTTCAACCGCAACATCACAAGCGGTATGCGGACGGGGACGGTGTCACTTCTTGTCGCCACTGTCGTCGTCGTCGTCGTCATCCCCGAGCACCTGCGACGCCTCTGCGTACTGCATGTCGCCGTGGAAGAAGTCCTCCAGCCGGAACACCAGCGCCTCAAACGTCGGGCGGTCGGCAGGCTCCTGATGGCAGTGGTGGCGATGATGGCAATGATGATGGGCGGTCGTGATGATCGTCGTCGTTGTGGTGGTGGTGGTGGTGGCGGCGGTGGTGAGGAAGACAAACACAAGGCAGCAGTGATGAGTGATGAGCCAAAGGGTGGATGGTAACGCCAACGCGTGACGATCCAAACAAACACAGAAACGCCAATGACATGAGCACCCACTCCTCCCCCCCCCCCAAAAAAAAAAAAAAAAACCACCACTATCATCGATTGCAACCACTTTGCGTGTGTCACTGACCGACTTCCAGCAGTCGAGCATGATCTTGTAGAGCGAGTCTGGGCAGCCCGGCGGGCACTCCATGCGGAACCCAGAGTCGAGCTTGCCAACCACCTCCTTGTTCGACATGCCGTGGTACGGCTTGCGGCCGTATGTGATAATCTCGCTCAGCAAAATGCCAAAACTCCACACATCAGACTTGGTCGAGTACCTGCAGCCAACGGAAAGTGGTGGAGAGGGGAGGGGGGATGGGCGATGAGGAATGCGAAAACAACGCAGGTGGTTGTGTGGAGTGTGACAAGCGTCGACAACATGACAATTGTCGACAACACGCATGCACACACCAGGCACACACCAGGAACACACAGGCGCACCAACCTGTTGTGCTTCATTGCCTCTGGTGCAGTCCAGCGCACAGGGAATTTCTCCAGATTCTCGGGGCGGAACTCGCCATCCTCAAGCACACGCGCAAGGCCAAAGTCGGCAACCTTGCACACGTTGTTGTCACCGACGAGAATGTTGCGGGCTGCAAGATCGCGGTGGATGTAGTTGTTGCGCTCCAGGTACGCCTGGTGGTGGTGGCGGCGGTGGTGGTGGTGAGGAGGTGTGGAAGGGTGTGGATTGCGAGGAGACAGTGGTGAGCACGTGTCAGAGCAGATGCATAAAGCACACAAACACACACACACACACACACGCACGCACGCACCATGCCCTGAGCGATATCTGTGCCCATGTCGATAAGGGTGGGGAGGCGGAGGGCTTCGCCCGCGGGCGTCTTGAGGTACTCGAGCAGGGCGCCGTTCTTCATAAATTCGGTGATGATGAAGATGGGCTCGCCAATCGAGCACACCGCATACAGCCGCACAAGGTTGTCGTGCTTCAGTTTCTGTTTGTGGACAAAGGGGGGGGGGCGGTGAGGAAGATGTGAGCGAGTTAAGGACCAGTGGAAGCACAACAGCTCATTGAGCAAGTTCAACACGCACATGCAAGCAGACGCCACAAGAAAGGGAACACACACACACACACACACACACACACATAAAAAACACACACACACACATAAAACACACACCAACAACAACCATAATACACACACACACACACACACACACACACACACACACAGACACACACACACACACACCAACAACAACACCTTCATGAGCTGGGCCTCTTTGAGGAATTCGTCGGGGGAGGTCGTGTGTGTCTTGAGTGTCTTGACGGCGCACTCTGTCACGCCATTCCAGATTGCATAATACACCTCGCCGTACTGGCCCTCGCCCAGCTGCTTCTTCAGGTCAACCGTGTCCCGGTCAACCTCCCACTCGTCCTTCACGTTGTACGCAAGATCAGCAGCACTGTGGTCGCGAGTGTTGTATGTGTGTGTGTGTGTGTATGAGTGAGTGAGTGAGTGAGTGAGTGAGTGAGTGTGTATGTGTGTGAGTGTGTATGTGTGTGTATGTGTGAGTGAGTGAGTGAGTGAGTGAGTGAGTGAGTGAGTGTGTGTGTGTGTGTGCAAGTGAGTGAACATGGATGTGTGTTTGAATGCATGCCAGTCAGGGATAGCAGCAAAAATACAACGCGCACACTCCACCACCGCCACCATGAGAAGCAGCAAGCCCTACCGTGCGGGCTGTTCGCGTGGGCAGGGTGTCTTGAGGCGCGTGGAGAGCCCACAGCGCGACTTCTGGTGGAACTTCACCAGCGACCGCAGGTCATCGTGCGGCGCCGACGGCGACTGGTTGCCGGCATGATGAACCACGATGATGATGATGATGTTTGGGGGTGTGGGGTGTGGATGTGGTGAGTACATTGGAGCTGTCGCGGCGGGTAAACCACTCACACAATCCAGCGTATAAATGTGTGTGTGTGTGTGTGTGTGTGTGTGTGTGTGTGTGTGTGTGTGTGTGTGTGTGTGTGTGTGTGTGTGTGTGTGTGTGTGTGGAGGTGTGTGTGTTTGGAGGTGTGTGTGTGTTTGGAGGTGTGTGTGTGTGTTTGGAGGTGTGTGTTTGGGCGTGTGTGGAGGTGTGAGTGCGCCCATCACTGTGTGTTAGAGTGTGGTGAGTGCGCCCATCACTCTGTGTTAGAGTGTGGTGTGTGCGAACTGACCCCCTGGATCCGGAGTTTCTTGCCATCAACGACTTTGATGCGGAAATGGCGCACAGCATCGCCGTCCTTCATCGACAGCGAATATGTGCCCGGCGCACTCTGCACAGGGGTCGAAACATCAGGTTGGTGGTGGGCAGCGATGAATGAGAAGTGCGAATGGGAAGTGGGAATGGGAAGTGGGTGGTGCTGGAGGGGGGGGGGGGGGTGTGGTGCACAGAGGTAGGGTCAACTGGCCCCCTTTTTGCTTTGGTGCGCTGACGCGTGCAAGGGCATGTACACAGACAGCGCGCTTCGCCGTCACATCAACACTACAAAAGTTGTCATGAGCAACAATGTGATCATCGTCATCAGCACGGCTGCCAACACCGCACCTCGCTCTCGCGGATAAGGTAGGTGCCGTGTTTGCGCAGCGGCGACCCGAGCAGTTTCTCGGCCTGCACACCCGGAAAGTGCAGGCAGCGCGCGCGCACACACACACACACGCAACATGGTGGCATATTCAGTGGCAAATGTTGTGAGGGCGTCATTGAACATGCATGCACGGAGCAAGCAGAAGCGCAAAACATGTACTTTGACCACAAACACGACGCCCTCGAACAAGACGACGCTCGCGGCAACCACCACACGACGACGAGGACGAACGACCACCTTCTCCACCACCGCCACCGCCACCACGTGTGCACCTTTGCGCGGGTGATGGGCCCAAAGAACCACGGCTCCGACTCAAGGCTGTTTGCCTTGACAACAAATGAGGCCGGGACGTAACCTTCGTCGCCTGTGATGGCGTTCTCCACGCGGCACCACGCGCCCTCTGTCTCGTGCTGGTACAGCATGTCGCCCTTGCGCATAAACAGCTCCCCAGGCCCGCCTGCAGTGTGTGTGTGTGTGTGTGTGTGTGTGTGTGTGTGTGTGTGTGTGTGTGTGTGTGTGCGTGCGTGTGTGTGTGTGTGTGTGTGTGTGTGAGGAAGAAGCAGGATGCAGCGGACGCAGCGGAAATTAGAACACACACACGCACACACACACGCACACACACACACACACACACACACACACACACACACACACGCTTGGATGGCACGTACGGGGGATGTTGTCGTAGAGGGCGGTGACGAGGTCGTCGCGGGATGTGTCTGGCTCAACCAGGTGGTACTGCGACGACCCTTTGTCCGAGTCAAGCAGCTCAAACCACCCTTCGAGCTTGTCGGTCGGCGGCAGCACGTCCGCAATCTGAACAGCACACCGCGTGCCAGTTAGTGAGAGAGTGTGTGTGTTTGTGTTTGTGTTTGTGTGTGTGTGTGTGTGTGCGTGTGTTTGTGTGTGTTTGTGTGTGTGCGTGTATACTCTCGCAAGCTCGCCCACGTCAGCTCGACGGCAGGAGTGGTGCGGTGTTGGTGACAATACCTTGATGGAGAATCGGCCAATGAAGCCCGACCTTGCAGCTTTGTCCCACACGTCAACTTCCAGCAGCCGCTCGCGGTATTCCTGAATAGATACATGTGTGCGCGCGCGCGTGTGTGTGTGTGCCCGAATATGTGAGCACAGAGGACTGCAAACCCCGC